CTTCAAAGTTTTCCTGGTTTCAATGAAAGGGTATGAACAGTTATGCTTCAGTTAATATGTTACCTCAATCAATTGAATGCAGGCGACGCAGGTCCAGACCCGGTATTGGTCATGTGCTGAACACCACAAAACTTGTTCCCAACAGCTGGAAGAAAAAAAAACATGATATCAGTAGTGAAATTTATTTTATTAGTTAGCCAAAATATCTTTTTCTAAGTTTTTTACACGATTTCTTGGGACTAATATGCACATTTAGTTTCCAAATGACGTATTTATTAGTGACATTTTCAGCTAAATGGATACAAGAATTGGGATACTGCAAAAACAGGGTATGACAAAAGCTTAGCTTTAAAGTGTTCAACTGCCTTAATGAAGTGGGAAACAATATTCCCAGACCCTGTACACCGATATATGAATGTAGAGATGGCTGTTTGGCGTCCAAAAGCAAATCAAATGCATATTCAGGACGATAACATGATAATGTGACATGTATACATGCTGAGCTGCACATTTAACATGCTAGTTAACAAGGAAACAGTCCACAGGAAGACATGTCACACTACCCACACCAGGCCTGGGGTAATGGTAATTTGTAACTGTAATGCATTGTAATATTACATTTTTTTATGTAATGCAAAGTAATTTGTAATGCACATTTTCTGAATTACAATTACATGTAATGTAATGATTACTTTAGTTAAAAATCAATGTAATGTCTCCATTACTGTACATTGCTTTTCATTAAAAATTGGTAAAATAATAAAATTGAAGAATATAGAAAAATAAAAATAAAATATTAACAAAAACAAAAGAAAGTATTGAATAAAATTATTGTCAAAGTTAATTACTGTATTAAATCATTATAGATAGTTTGCCCTAAAAAAATCTTCTAAAAATAATTATTAAATTCCATTAGATGAATGGAAAAAATATGAAGATGAAATTTTCATAATTCTATACACACCTTACATGTATTTCAATGAGAGAGTGAATATGTCAATCAACATTTTTACACCAAACTGTGGTTGTTATTTCACCTAATTAATATCAAAATGTTTTTATTGCAATCAAATCTTCTCAACTTATGTTTGTCTTCACAGAGCCCTTAGGCATATAACAAGATAATCCTTTAATGGCACATTTATTATATCCCTTTGAAATCCCTTTATGATGTCTTAATGAGTAAGTGATCAATGTTTGAAACAAAATTATATGATAATTTATTTATTTTTCAAGTATTTGAAGTCTATGTCACTAACACTGTATATATATGTACATATACCCTGGTAATACTTATCAATTTCTTATAAAAATCTGTTTTTTAAATGTTTTTATTTTTTACATTGAAAAGTAATGTGTAATGTAACTGCAAAGTAATTGTAATGTAATGCATTACATGTGAGAAAAAATGTAATTGTAATTGTAATGGAAGAATCACAAAGTAATTGTAATGTAGTGCATTACATTGCAATGTAATGGCCCCAGGCCTGACCAAGACACATTATTCTGACTCCGAGCTCATTGTGATTGCCTCTATTCTCAATGCATACTTAGCGGAAAAGCAGCAAAAGGTAATTTTGAAGTCTTTGATTTGACCCGGTCGGGGTGCGAATCCACAATCACCCACACTCGAGGCAAGCACTCTACCAAGAAATCCCCGGGATGGTTCATATATAAAGAAACTTCCCATTTAGACTAATTTTTACATTTCATATTCATATATATAAAAATATTTAGCATAGCCCATATTTCAGAAACAATCTGCGCAACCCGGTCATATAAGTTTTTGTTCGATTTTTATGATTTAAGAGATTTGTGTAGACGAAACTCGCGTATCGCATCCCAAATTATAATCCTTGTTTCTTTGATGAGTTTTATGTATTAAACTTTCTAAAAATACTGATTTTTAGTGTACATTTACGTCATTCGATTTATCCTTTTCTTTATTCCAAAGATTGATATAAGAAAGGGAGATCTTAGTGCTAAAAAATTAGTTTTAGGGCCGCTTTGGCTTTTTTGAAGTTGCGGCAACAGTAGTCTACCGAAGTTCAAATCAAGATATAAATATAAAACTCGCATGAACTTCAAAAGGAGAGACATTGTTCGTCGACAGGGTAAGCATCGCCTGCTATGCATGTATCACCCGTCATGCGAATCCACACCCATTCACAATAGGGGAATAGGAGACACTTTGTCAAATTACAGATCCGGCGACTATTTTGCTATTAAACCAAGAGTTCCAAATGGTGAAGTTGAAATCATCCCTTCGTAAATTTTACGGACGCCATCACGAGTTGGTTGACCGTTATGGAATAACCGTTTCACAGATGATATCGGATATGTTCCTTATGTCGTAACTACAATACCCCCCCCTTTTCACGAATGTGACTTACCGAATTAGACTATTTACCGGATTTGTAATAACATAAGCAACACGACGGGTACCACATGTGGAGCAGGATCTACTTACCCTTCCGGAGCACCTGAGATCACCCCCAGTTTTTGGTGGGGTTCGTGTTGCTTAGTCTTTAGTTTTCTATGTTGTGTCATCTGTACTATTATTTGTCTGTTTGTCTTTTTATTTTTGGCCATGGCGTTGTCAGTTTGTTTTCGATCTATGAGTTTGACTGTCCCTCTGGTATCTTTCGTCCCTCTTTTTTAATATCTAAAGATCTAAGACTGCGAAAACATGTCGCTAGTGAGCTGAGACAAACACATACACATTGTATTAGTCAACTGATTTGTAATGTTGATCCTAAAACTTATGTATTATCGATTTCAATCGTTCATCCTTTTCTTGACCTCTTTTTGGAGCAGTTTCTGTGTAATGACCACACCCCTGTTAATGACTTTTGTGTAGTGTGAATATGCATGAGCGTGACGTATTGACTAAGATATGTACACGTTATACGATGCAACTGATATTACTGATGAGAAATGGTTTGTCGTAGATTCTAAATTGAAGTCGTTCATTTTTATCAATATTGAAGAAAAGATTAAGGTATGAAGCAGACGTTTTAATTTTAATTGTATCCTTATATTCACTGGGATATATGAGATGCAAGCACTCACTGGCAAGTGTGTTATTGAGTGACAGGACATAATCTCTACATCTGAAAGTGAACTTAAAGAACCTTGCAAGATGTCTTTTATTTTGTCCTTGAGAAGGTTCTGTATGCATACTGTCTTATATGCGTACAATAACAAGTCGACCACAAGGGGTACACAATAATTACCCATGGGAATACCGACTGTATGTTGAAACACCAATCCACCAAACTCATCACAAATGCTGTCGATAAAAAATTCCAGCATTTTGATGATATCATCCTCGGTTTATTTGTTGTTGGAGTCAGTGTGGTTCTTCACAAAGTAAGATTTTTTATTTGACAAAAAGTAAAATGACAAAAATATTCCTGACTTGGTAGAGTCATTGCCTTATCTAGAAAATGGTGGATTAAACCTGGTTTTATAGCTAACTAAACCTCTTGTATGACAATCGCATAGAATTTCATTATATTGACAACAATTTGTGATCAAAACAATCAGACATAATAGGTAAAAATGTCAAAAATTGGGGCACATCAATCAACATTGCGTTATAATCTTAATCACTATAAAACAAAAACAAGAATTCTATATCTACGATACCCAGTTTTGTAGAAAAGGCTCGTTCTAATGAGTGGGAATAGTAGGATAAAGCGTCGAAAAATCTAAAATTTTGATATATCTGCAATATTGTAAAGATAGTGATTAAAGATTTTAAAGTAGATCTTTCTAACACATCCACATCTGTTTGACACAGCTGATACAATATACCTCATCCTAATATTCTGAAGGAAGGAATAGAGGTAAGTACTTTGGAAAGATGTTTAGTCGAACATTATGACAACTCAGCTATATATCGTTCTTTATACGGATTGTTTTGAAGTAGGATCAGTGTTGAAATTTTAACCTGAACTGCAAAAAAGACTTAAAAGATGTAAGCATGGTGCCTTATCACTTTTCCTCTGGGCCTAGAAAGCTCACCATTTCATTCACTCAACTTATATGCTCAGCAACCTTTCTCAACAGCTGCCAATTTAAGATCAATATAGTATCTGGTCCATCTTTTCGTTGTGAAGCTCGACCAGATGATTCTAATCATTTCTTTTTCGTTTACTCCCCTAACTCGGATTTCAGGACTATCTTAAATAACAGTTTAATCTGGTTGCCTGACGGCCTATCTTTAATCCACATTATGACTTGTAGCTACATTCCCCATTTCCATTCTCAATTTTACATAAATTTAACACATAAGCAAAATGAATAAATATTTGGAAATGGTGTTGATTTTATTAAAAAGACGAATGTAACGTAAGTGATCTTCATGCGAAAAATGCCAAATGGTTAAAATGCATCCACACGCATGTTATTTATCAGCTTGGTATGGTCAAGACGTTTGGTAAAGTTAGATTATTTTTAAGAGAGTTATCTCTCCTTAGCCAGTTATTGGGTTTTGCGTATTGCGGCACATAAGTCCGTATTTGGTTTATATAAATAGTTTTACAGTTGATTGTTCTCTTGATTTATTGTGACCATAGATGTACATGTGTTTGAGAAATAGAACTTTATTAATTTGAAAAGTAGTTATATTATTTATGCCAGAGTAAAGCATAAAACGCACATGTAACTTCTTATCATTTTTTTTTTTGTTATTTATTTTTCTGTGAATTTATGACTTAATATTATAACGTATGAAATTGTAAGCAAATATTTACAAAATATATTGTATATTGGGAGAAAGCATTTAAGTTTGAGTAACTTATGTACTATCCTTTTTGTTATATTTGTTTGCAAATAAAATACATTTACATTATAAAAAAAAAGTAAGCTAAAAAACAAAACTAAAAGATTTAATTTCATAATTGTTATATTAAAATAGACAAAATTTTAATACAGCATAATTAATAAATTTTTAAATTATTAAACATATACTGAAACTTTATTCATTAGCGTCATAATACATAAGGTTCAATTTCACTTTTAATAAAACACCCAGAACGTGCAATATAGATATACCCTGAGTATAAAAAATTTCCATTCTTAAGGTAAAAAAGCAAAATCTTTTTGTAGAAGCAAGCCACTGTCTGTATCCTTGCTTACGTTGATCTTGACATCGAGTCCTCGCTGAAATTTAGAATGAAGATATTATGTAAATGAGAATAACATTTAATGTCCAGAAGAATGTGCTTAATTGTCAGCTGTTATTAATTTTGCATGTGTCTAATTAGCTTAAACGTGAATAGAATTACTTAAACATCTTTAGATATGTTTTTGTGTGGTTTGATAGTCGTCCGATTTGCCTTTACCCCACATTTTCTTAATCATATTTGACAAAAATATACATCTATATGACGTACCCGAGTATACAGACAAATCTTGGAGGTTCTCAGAATACTATATTGTGCCTGCGTCTGTTGTTCTCAATGTGAAAACCCATCAATGATACCAGGCGTATAGTTTTGAACACCAAACGTACGTTTTTACTAAATAAGACTCATCAGTGACGCTCAAATCAAAATAGTTTGAAGACCAAATCAATTTGAAGAGCAATACGAACCCAAAATTTCAAAAAGTTTGCAAAAACGGCTATGCCTTGGAGAAGACAATCCTTAGTGTTTCGAAAAAGTCAACAGTTTGTAAGAAGTGATTTTATAAAACTGATCGTATCGATGATATTTCATGCCAACACAAAAGTGCTGAATACTTTGCTGGTGAAACCCTCGGGGAAGTAAAGTCCACCAGCAGTAGCATCGACCAAGTGGTTATGAAACTCACCAAAAATTCTTTGGCACGCGAGGCGCGTGTTTCATGTACTAAGAATTGTGCGTTAACTCAAATCAAAATAGTGGTAAGGTCTAATCATGAATGAAGTTGAAAAGCATTAAGAACCAAAAATTATATATACAATGTGCCAAATACGACCAATATAATCTATGTAAAAATGCACTGTTAACTGCTAAAATAGTCTCCATTTATCAGTTATATACAGAAAATGAAAAAGAACAAATCGAAATTTTGCTATTGGTGATATTTTTTTTATTACCAACCTCATTATAATGCCATGAAGTTGGACAACATTTTAGTTTTAAAATATTTAATCACAGATAGTACCCAAATATTTAATGGACAAAAAACTAAAGTCAGTTCTATAGTAAAATACGAAAAAATGTGGCAAAAAATCAGATGATGCCTCTCGATTATGAAGAAGATTCTGTACAAGTTGCCTGAAATTTCATAAATGTTTTAAAAAACAGATCACTGATGTTTTAAAAGTTCCAACCCTAGACATTAACCTTAATGTTTCCAAAAATCTAAAAAGTATAGTTCATTATCAGTTAAATGCAGACAATTGAAGAAGAAAAAAACAATGTTCCAAGTTTATGTTCAGATGCTATTTCACAATCGTGAAAAAGCTTTATCCAAGTTTCGTAAAATTTCATGAAAATTATTGTTGTATAAAACTGTTAACTGCAACAACAATAAGGCCGTCTATCAGTAAAATACAGAAAAATTGAAAAGAATGAAATTAAAATCAAAAGTTTACATCAGATGCTAGCTTTAAACCACGAAGAAGCTTTTGTCTTAGCCTCGTAGGATTACACCAAGGTGTGACAAAGTTATTGATTTCTAATAAACTGTATCTAAATGTAAACTACAAAAAACGTATTTAAAGTTATTTCGTATGCAAATACGATAAAGTGAATAAACATTTTTTTTTCAGTAACTTTATATATATTCCATGGAGAATTTTCCATTCAAGTTTCATGTAATTTTGTGAATATTCGAAAAAAATCTTTTTAGCGGAGCTAGATATAATGAGCCTTCCGGAGCACCTGCGATCACTGACAGGTTTTCATGGTGTTCGTGTTGGTGTCTTTTTATATAGTGTTTTGTGGGTTTGTTCGTCTTTCGATTGATACCATGGCGATGACAATTTCTCTTCTTTTGAATGTCCCCTTCTTATCTTCCGCCTCTATAATATTGTTGTCTCAATACCTTTAACCATAGTCCGAACCTACATGGCGACAACGCTGGCGACGGATTCTCAGACACTTGGTCTCGCCTTCGTATTTTTGCCTCAATACCTTTAACCAAAGTCTGAACTTTAATGGTGACGACGCTGGCGACGGATTCTAAACCACTATGTCTCGCCTTCGTATTGTTGACTCAATACCTTTAACCATAATCGGAACCTAAATGGTGACGACGCTGGCGACGGATTCTAAACCATTATGTCTCGCCTTCGTATTGTTGTCTCAATACCTTTAACCATAGTCTGAACCTAAATGGTGACGACGCTGGCGACGGATTCTAAGACACTTTTATCGCCTTCGTATTTTTGCATCAATACCTTTAACAATAGTCCGAACCTAAATGGTGACGATGCTGGCGACGAATTCTAAGACACTATGTCTCGCCTTCGTATTGTTGACTCAATACCTTTAACCATAATCGGAACCTAAATGGTGACGACGCTGTCGACGAATTCTAAGACACTATGTCTCGCCTTCGTATTTTTGTCTCAATACCTTTATCATAGTCTGAATATAAATGGTGACGACGCTGGCGACGGATTCTAAAACACTATGTCTCGCCTTCGTATTTTTGCTTCAATACCTTTAACCATAGTCTGAACCTTCATGGTGAAGACGCTGGCGACGGATTATACGACACTATGTTTCGCCATTGTGACATTCCAATTGAAAAAAGTTTTTCCGACACTACATTTTGAAAAAATAATATGGATGCAGATTCTTAGGACAACAACCCATAAATAAAAAAGAAAACCGTATCCCGCAAAGTAGACCGACACAGTATTTGAACGGTTCCCATTAAAATTCAAATTTCGACAAGTAAAATACTGTTCAAAATTGTAAATTGTCCTTTAAGAAAACCATATTTTTAAGTATGAATTGATTATATCTACATTACACCACAGTTAAGACAACGACCAATATCGTAAACCCGAATTAGGATAGTCACTTTTGTTTATACATTTACAACAGAGCATCATGAAATGCACGTTGTATAATTGAACCATTTTCTATGCTTAAACAGGTATTTGGACCCATCATTACCCTCGGAATTCTTGAAAATTGTGATGTCTAAATTTCCATTTTGCAGTCACCCCGAATTTTTCTTACCATGACGAATATGATGAACATATTACCTTAGCTGTATTAGGCAAAATTTTTCGGAAATTTGGGTCCCCAATGTTCTTCAACTTCGTACTTTATTTTGGCCTTTTTAACACTTTTTTTTATTCAAGCGTCACTCATTAGTCTTGTAGGCGAAACGATCGTCTTGCGTACAAATTTTAATCCTGATATCTATGATGAGTTAATTATGATACTGACCTTTCAAATTTGTTGTTCTATACATGTCCAAGCAGTGTATCAATTTTACAGAAGATATGATTAAAAACAAAATCAATGTTACTCATGCTTGTTCTTTTTAACTATGCAACCGACGTTACGATCGATCTTCGGACTTATTTATTGTAGTTTGTTTTGTTTTTAAATGCATCTAGGAAATTAATGGATATTTTAACTGTATGAGTGAAGAAATCTAGGTCTCTAACTGACTATTTGTACGTCAATTGCAGTTGTTACAGAAGCAACGATGATTATGAATATTCGCTCCATATCGTTTAAAATATTAACAATAGAAAAATACTTAGGTTGACCCGACAATATAATATTGAAATACACTAACTTATTCTGATGATATGGAAATCTAAAAATGCGAAAAGTTATCTCCGGTCGTCTTAATTTACACTAAATTAGTTAAACGGAGATTAAGTAGAACATTGAACTTCAACTCTAACATTCTTGGTATATATATCTGTATTTGTTCATAACTGATTGGCATGGTAAAGAATCTATATGTTGTTAATTACCCTATTGTATGCATGTGGTTTCAGGCTGAATGTCCCATACAAGCTGTCACCGTTTGTGACAGTAATGCTTGTGTTCCAAAAGGGTATCACAGTTTGTTTCCAATGAGTTGGCTTTGCTTCTGGGGCTGCAATAACAATAAAACATTTGTTGGTGCTTTTAATAAACATATTCATTATTTATTAAGACTCTGTCCGATTTACAATCTGAAATATGATATAGAATAAAACAAATCTATTTTACTTTTAGAAATTTACCTGTGATAATATAAACGTCACATAAAATACGTCACTTTTTGTAACGTTGATCCATTAATGTGACGCGCAGTTTATACTTCGTTTGTGGTGTCCTGGTGTGCTGTTGTAAATTTAGGGGAGGTGTCCGTTGTTATTCTGCGGTTTACATGTTGTAATGTACTATCAGATTGATTATTTATGTATTTCTCTGTGCTGAGTGTTCTTGCGTTTGTTTGTACTGTATTCCTGTCACATAGTGTTGTCATTTTAGCGGTATTTTTAACATTGCCGTATAAGCGGGAGGTTTGGCTAGCCATAAAACCAGGTTCAACCCACCATTTTTTCTTAAAATATCCTGTACCAAGTCAGGAATATGGCAGTTGTTATTAAATACTGTGGATTCATTTATTTTCGTGGGTACAATTTTCGTGGATTAGGGAAAACTTGCATGTTCGTGGATATTTAATTTCGTGGCTTTGATGAAGTCCACATACAAGCCTATAGAAAATTTGTTATCGTTGAACATTTAATTTCGTGGTTCACCTGTAATTTGCTATAATAATATTTCGATTACGTAAACCTCACAGCTCGTAAATCAAGATTTCTGCCTTACTTGAATAAATCAAGCCCTCACCGTCTCTGATTCTCTCCGCCTCAAAGTAGTGATCGTACTGAGCTCAATATCACGTTCAAACAAAAGACCATTAAAAAATCAATCGCCATGACTGATTAACGTAAGTTTGATGTACTGCCAGAAAACGATTTTTCCACCGAATCGTCCAGATGCTGATCCGTTATTTTGAATTGAACAAAAATGTCGTAAATTCATCAATTCACTTGGTTTTATTTAGGAAAGTCCTAAATTTGAATGTAGATTTTTCGTGTGATTTAGCATGTAGTTTCGCGACGCTGAAAAAAATATATTAACAAGTATATTTGGAAATTTAGAAACTTAACTGCAAGGATATACTGGCTATTAAGGCGACAAATACTGTCTGAAGTCGCAACTGTTAATTCGATTCGACATCTATGCGAATGACTTTTTATTATCCGTCAGATGTGTCATCTATAAAATATACACACAAACAGAAACAAATCTGCAGCCTTAAATACCGTGAACAAAAAAAAATATTTATAATTGTTTGTTAGATACGCTAAATGCTCTATTTTCCAAGAGTAAATACATTCAAGTGAATTCAACAAGGACGACCAAAGACATGTAATAACATCGAATTATTTAGAAAAAAACAAAAAAGGTAAGACAGCACCTGGATTAGTTTCCTGTCTTTTCGAAGGCGCTCCACATTTCATTTGATTATTTCGATCATGAAAAGTAAGCTGGTAACGTTATAATATATCTGATTATCGTGCTTTATTCTTTATTTTATTCTTCTCCTACTTACAATTACTTAAAATTAAAATAACTAACGTTTCGGTTGGAAGTGGTGAAGGTGACTCGTATTGATTTTCCTGTCTATACGTGTATACATACGATTAATACATCATACAAATGTGTTTTTTTCCATCCGATACGTGTATACGATTCACATAATACACATATATCTGATTTGTTAAGCCGATACGTGTATACGCTTTAACTTGTTATTCATATTTCTGTTTTTTTCTTCAGCTGATATGTTGATACGATTTACATAATACAAGAAATGTCTAATTTTTCAAATGTTGTATATCATTTGTGGAGTAATTTTCAAAGGAACGCTTACCTGTAGAAAATGCTGTCTTCCTCACACAATGTGAAAACCCAGTGTCAAAATAAGTAAGGAAACCATTAACGAAACCAGTCTTCTTACACTGGATATGATATGGAGCCTCAAACGATAATTCCTTTTCTTTGACCTTGTATAGATCTATTTCCTTAAAGAGGTAAGATCATGAAATAAAAGCAAATTCGAGATGTTTTAGTAAACCTTCCACTAAAAGACTTCAAGACACCGATACAAAAATAGACAAAAAACATTAAAGGGACAATAACAAATCATAAGCCGAGAAAAAACTAACAACACAATGCGCTGTTTCACTTTCAATAAAGTTTTTGATTTGATTAAGAATGTCCTCCGTAATCCTTTTTAGATAAATACGCAAAAAAGTTCATATGTTCAAATAGTCTAAATTGCAGTTTACAGCCAATTAGAATGAATGTCATAACAGTGTGAACGTGGACACCTGATATTTAAATGGTATCGTGTCGGTCACTGGCTGTGGACAACAAAGACTTCACACAATTACAGTATGTCAAGGGCCTTTCAATTGGGAGTCCATTTATAAAATTTTTTTTTTTTTGCATGCACGTTTATAGGAATTTGTTTTAAATATATTTATATACTGACAGCGAAAAAGTTTCTTTTGAAAGAATGAGTATATTCAGAGGTGATATCACAAAGTAATCAAAAGAAAAAAGTAAGAAAAATTCTTTTCTGTCAATAAGTGAAAAATTAAGTAGTGTGTCAGTTATAGACAAGATGTCCATCATGCATTGCAAATCGTTCAGTGGATTGGTCAATCGCCAAAATAAAAAAAATGCTTTATTTATAAACAAACACTTATACAAGCATTGACGGGGTCATAAGTATGCTAAATAATACATATCTGTATTAGGAAATGTGCCCGACCTGTTAAATGCAGCTGTTCTGTTGATTTGAAAAACGATTAGACGGATCACAGCGATTTAATTTAGAATTGTACTTACTTTTTTTAATTTGTGGTTCAGTATCTATCCATGAATTAAATATGTTCACAATATCTTTTATACTAGAATAATTAAACGAGTGCACCCAGTTTAAGGTTATTATTACACTGTTACTGTTATGTTGACATAATAACCTGTACGTTATATCGTATTACAGTTGAGCAGTTTGGTCTTGTGCATATGATTTATTATTCCAAAACAGATGTATTGTGAACATATCATTAAATTCATGTACTCTTTCAAAATTCAAGAGTCTATCCTAAATTGAGGTAAATTATGACTCTTTCAAAATTCAAGATTCAAGAGTCTATCCTAAATTGAGGTAAATTATATGGCCTTCCAAATACCGTTTCGATTCCTTACATCACTGAAGAGACATTAATTGTCGAAATCCGGATATGGTGTACAAATTTTTGCACCTCATGTTTGCGGTATACCATCTTTTCCGCAAGTTTATTGTTTTCTGTTTGGTAATAAATTAATAATAAGATCTATTTTGTTGCATCTTGTGATCAATTTATTTGGCAATCGCCAATGGCAGTCAGCAGGGTTTAAGAACATCAGTTGTTCGACCTGCTAGTCAAATGCGTTTTGTTAAAATATACTTTTTCACTCATTTTGGTCTTTTGGAAAATGTTGTTTGTGCTGTATTTAGACCCCTCTACCTAGAAATTTGTTTTGCATGCACACGTATAAAAATTGCGGTTTTTATCCAACGCAATCATAGGTTTGAACGTTGTTTTCAATTTAGACTTGATTAAATTCATGTATATATATTGAAACACAGAAACCGTAAAAGAAGTGAGTACAATTTCAAATTGTAAGGGGATGACCATTCCTGATTCAGTTAAAATAAGGGAGGGGGTGGCTATGCAAGATGCTTTTGAAATCAGCATGAATAAAATTGCAAATAAACGTTTATGCAGAATTGTCTCAAATATGAGTCCTCAAATAACAAAAAAAAATAGTTGAGTAAGACCAAAGTCATTGCAATTACCTGCTTAATTTGTTGTAAAAGACTATAGATCCCGTAACTTTTGTTATACATGTTCAGGTATAACAAAATCTAAAATAAATATCAATGTTTCCACAAAAGCTACTCTTGACTCCAATCAAGGTAAATTTTGCACACAAGACCGGATTCATATGCTTCTTGATATTTTCACGAGTTATTTTTTGTTAGAATGATATTTAAATGTTCACGAAAATCTTATCTTTTGAGTATTCGATGGGAATTCAAATTTGTTTCGTGCATAAAATTATGCAGCCTAGAGGACTAAAAGGATTATTTATGAAGGTCCGGGGTTCTTATAACCAACAAAAATAATCTTAGTATGAAAGTTGATCGTAGGTTACTCTACATCAACTAGTACGAATAAATTTTTTCTTATTTTTTTAATGAGCGACAGAACGTTTGTGCAAGAAAATACATAACGTTTTTTTTTTTCTCGATTACTTGGTGATATCCCCTCTGAAGATACTCATTCTGTCAAAAGAAACTTTCTGTTGTGAGTAAATAAAAATATTCAAAACAAATTTCTATAAAGTTTCTTGCAAAAACTTTTATTTTATGAATGGACATGTGTAAAGATAGTAATTATGTATATCCCCATTGAGAGGCCCCTGACATACTGTAACTACGTGAAATCTTTGTTGTCGACAGCCAGTGATACACACGATAACATTTAATTACTATGTGTCCATGTCCACGCTTTTATGAAATTCATTCTATATAAGCTTTCATAAAACTACAAATAATTGAGGAGTTCGCATTTATGCTGTCCGTGCAGGTAAGTAAATAAAGATTTTTAGAAATTGCTGATAATTCAAAGTTTAATAATTCCAGGCTTTTCTAGAGAAAAAAGAACATCTGTTTTATTAATATCTTAATTTATTTTCATACCTTGATCAGACAACTATTTGACACTACTTTTGAAGCATCAATTACATCGACGTACATTCTGTCAAAGTCCTGATGTTGTATAATACTGCTCATATCATATCCTTGTACATTATCCCAAACTAAATAAAAAGCTAAACAATAAACGTCCGCTGACAGAAAAATATATTTATTGGCACAAGGTTGATAAACTGTTTGTTTCGTAGCAAGTAGAAGTGCATAACATATTTTCATTTAGGGACAAAATATATGTTTTAGTTTTGTGCTAACATTTTGATTGCTATTGTTGTAGTCTTTTCAAGCTGCTGTGAGTACAATATTAGATATATGTTTAACAATATCACCTTTCTGTATTTGTCACCAAACTGTTAAAAAGTAAAACAACAAAAATACCGAACTCCAAGGAAAATTCAAAACGGAAAGTCCCTAATCAAATGGCAAAATAAAAAGCTCAAACACATCAAACGAAAGGGTTGTGTAAACCTCGCCGTCCCCGAGATTCTAAGCCTCATTACAGACACCTCTGGCCTTTTTTAGTCTTGTATATTTTTTTTAAATTTTGGTTCATTTATATGTTTCAGGGTTTAGTGTGGCGTCCATTTTCGCTGAACTAGTATACATTATTGTTTATGGGCCAGTTAAAACCCGCCTCCGGGTGCGAGATTTTTTCGGTTTATTGAAGACCCATTGGTGGCCTTGGGTTGTTTTCTGCTCTTTGGTAGGGTTGTTGTCTCTTTGACACATTCCCCGTTTCCATTCTCAATTTTATTAACCTTATAGGGTAAATATATTTATCAACAGTGAAGTATTGTCGGTTTACATTTATCAATGTAAAGACTAACCATGTGATATTATTGATATTAAAATGAATTATATTTGTCATTTTCTTCGATATCATCGATGCGCAGTAGATATCCAATATGAATTGTTCTGTCTTTCAAAGTTTTTGAGTGATCAGACTTTGACTCAAAACGGGTAGATTTGGAGTAGATTAGCACTTTCTTGATTTGCATCTAGAAATTGACACTGAGATTCGATTGAAAACAAAACTTTACGGCAAAAAAGAGATGATTTCAGCTTCCAAACTGTGGACTTTTCATTTCTATATAGCAACATCACAGCAGCAAACGAAGTATATATCTTCTAGTCGATACGATATTCCGGGGTTTGTATTTCCTATCATGATTTTCTTGATAGAGGGCTGCTGCTAACAAGGAAGCTATTAAACCAAGACTTCCAAGTGGTGAAGTTGAAATCAAACATTTGTAAACTTTTCGGACGTCATCACGAGTTGGTTGACTGTTATGGAATATCTGTTTCAAAGATGACGACGGATATGTTCAAATTGTCGTTACTACAATCCCGTCCCCTTTCCCCCCAATGTGATCTACCGAATTAGACCTATCACCGAGTTTGTACTTATATGAGCAACACGACGAGTGCCACATGTGGAGCAGGATTTATACTTACCCTTCCGGAGCACCTGAGATCACCCCCAGTTTTTGTTTGGGTTCGTGTTGCTCAGTCTTTAATTTTCTATGTTGTTTTTTGTGTTTTGTGTACTGTTGTTTTATCTTTTTGTCTTTTTCGTTTAAGACATGGCGTTGTCAGTTTATTTTCAACTTATGAGTTTTAATGTCTCTTTTGTATCTTTCTCCTCGCTCTCTTTGAAAACAACATTTTTGTACATAAAATGCTTGTACCATGTCCAGAGAATGACAGGCGGTTACAAGTGGTCCTAAAAACTTCTGAAATGGCATTTCCCGGTTTCGTCTGATTTTTGGTTTAAACTTTAGTAGACTTAAACCATGTAGACATTATATTATTTTTATTTTCAGTTTCCTTGCATGATGGAAAAGCTTTGCTTAATAAAATTGAGGATGGAAATGGGGAATTTGTCAGAGAGACAACAACTCGACCAAAGAGCAGAAAACAGCCCAAGGCCACCAATGGGTCTTCAACACAGCGAGAAAATCCCGCACCCGGAGGCAGGCTTCAGCTTGCCTCTAAACAAAAATGTGTACTAGTTCAGTGAAAATGGACGTCACACTAAACTCCGAAACATATAATAGAAATAAAATTTAAAAAAAAACATATAAGACTAACAAATGCTAGAGGCTCCTGACTTGGGCTGGCGCAAAAAAAATGCGACGGGGTTAAACATGTTTTGTGAGATCTCAACCCTTCCCCTATACCTCTAGCGAATGTAGAATAAACGAACACACAGCAATACGCACAGTAAAACTCAGTTTAAAAGAAGTCCGAGTCCGATGTCAGAATAGGTAAAAGAAGAAACTAAGCAAAATGACAATGATATATAAATTTACAAAGGACTACTAGCAGTTACTGACATACCAGCTCCAGACCTCCATTAAACTGATTGAAAGATTATGTCTTCATCATATGAAAATCAAGCACAATCCCTCCAGTTAGGGGTTTAGTATCAATGTATTTTGTTTGGTGGTATACCAATTTGACTTCGGTCTTAGAAGAAATATTGCTCCGAATGCTTATTGGCATTACATTTGGAATAATAATAGTAAGTACTTTTTAAGGTTAAACATTATAAACACTTCATTTATTAAGTTATAAATGTAAGTTTACTTTAGATTTGAAGATTTACGATATAGAAATGGCATGAACTTACAGGATTCTCTATCTTGTATAAAACGTTTGTCTTCAAAAGCAGTAAGGTAAAGCCAGTATTTGTCTGGAAATATCAAACCACCTTCCTTCTTCTAAAATTGTAAAACATACTGTAACTCTAATTGAGTATTTCATTCATATAGTCGTTTGTCACGTGTCATAAAAATATTTTTTTAAATAAAAACTCTTAATTACCTTATTAGTACAATCTTCATTTGATCAGCTGAATTAAATTAGTTTAGTACCTTTGCACACTATTTAAACGCTGTTGTTTCACTGTTCTTGGTTTTCGATAATATTCAACTGATAGGATGGAAAGAAGTGGATAGATGTTAAAGGAGGTAATATGTAGGGCTCTCCATAATCAAAGGAACGTTTGAGTGATAAACTTAGTCTTGTTGTTGATGGGAAACATCAGAGAGTATTTGTAGAATAATTTCGATATTTTTGTGGGATATCTTGACACATGTTGAATATTGACCAACGAGAATAGTTGCAGGATTGTCGGTTAAGATTATCGTTTTCTGTACATAAGAATCGTATAGATTTTAAAAGTCATGAATGTCTATGCATATCAAATTAAATAATACAATAAACAATGAAATATCAATTTCCAGGACTGAATCACACCCTCGATAATTATTGATAGACATAAGGTGCTTCAGAAATGTTGGGCATCACTCCTGGAGAAACTTTTAGAAACTGACGAACAAGGACAACTAACTTCTTAATGAAATGTTCGATATTGAGTACCACAAAGAAAGTCTTAATTTACAAAACTGTCATTTTTTTTTAAATCTTTACATTGAGAAATGTAAACAGAAAATATTTTTCGGAATTATGGGTCCTTAATGCTCTTTAAATTTGTTTTTTTATTTCGTCTTTTTAACTTTTTTGATTCCAACGTCACTGGTGAGTCTTTTGTATACGAAACGCACGTCTGGCGTACAAAATGATGAGTTTATTAACAACTACTGGGTCGATGGCACTGATAGTGGAGGTGTCCTTCCTGAGGGTTTCACCAGCCTAGTAGTCAGCATTTCTGTGTTGACATGAATTATCATTTATATGGCCATAATTATAAATTAACTGTTTACAAAATTTGAATACTTCGAGATACTAAGGATTTTCTACATCAGAAATAGATAACTTTAGCTGTATTTGGCATAACCTTTCAGAATTTGGGTCCTTAATGCTCTCCAACTTCGTACTTTATATTTAGCCTTTTTTACATTTTCTTGATTCGAGTGTCACTGATAGTCTTTCTTTAGACAAAATGCGCGTCTGGCGTAGAAGATTTTAAGCCTAGTATCTATGATGAGTTTATTAGATGTCTGTTTGCTTACTTCGATTCTTCGTCAGAGATCAAACCTATTTGCTTTATGAAAGTTGTATAATGAGCAATTCTAGATAATAACCAAAACACAACGTTGACTCTCCACCTTTAACAGAATTCTATGCTTTTATCAGGAAAATAATTAAGCAGGATTAAGATCGATTATGGATTAAACTTTGAGACGAAAGTTACACCAGTTACAAAGAATGCTGCACTTAGGTTCACGTATCAGCCCAAGGCTTAAGTAACTGTTAACGAGACGCTGATTGAGTAGCGATGTTAAGATTTTAACAATTGTGTTAACACAATCAAAGTGTAATGTTAATTGCAGTAACTAAGAAATTTATATGATATGATTAATGACTGCAGAAAATAAGAATTCGTTCATCAAGAAATTAATGCACATAATCCATGTCGTTTGTAAGATTATATGTGGCATCTACTCGAGCATATATAAATTATATATCTTGTTATCCATTGCATTCATTACTGTTTGTCAAGATATTTGACTTCAAGATATATCACCATATCATGAGCAAGTTACTATATTTATAGAGATACACAGACCTTCGATAATGCAAATAATACGTTCGTGTTGCTAAATCTTGAACTTTATGTATAGTTTTATGTGAACGTCTTTTGGCCATTGTGCTGCTGTATTTTTGTCGACTTTTGATTGCCCAATTGCTATCTATTAATCTTTTTTTGTATACACTAGTATGGATTTTAACGTTTCGTCTCTACGTCCTTTGAAATATACGGCTGTGTGGATCTATTTTTGCCCTTGTCACAGCAGAGATCAACGACATTCTTTGTAGACAAAAGAGAATCGAAAATTTTATCAACTTGGATTAATAAGGTATATTTGAGTCATTATTTATTAGGTATATGGTATTCCATAATGGAACGTAAATACTCTTCAAAATAAGGAACTTCAGTTTTTCAAATCTGTGTAAAGAAAATTAACATTTTTAGCATCCTTTCCTCTGTTAAAACTTTCTCATACCGTGATTCGATGTTACCAGTGACCAACTGTATATACATGTTTGTGTAAAATACCAATTACTTTCTGCTCAAATTGTTTCTAACTCTGAATTGATAAAAATACAACTTACCAACCACTTGTCCCTAGCATATAATATAGAATGTATTGAGGATTCAAACAGTAAACAATATCCAATCGTCTCGCTTATAATAATATCTACTTCGTCTAGCCCATCAGGCAACTTTGCATCTTCTACCTTGCATTTAATCAAAGTTATGACTACAAAATAAATAAGGGCAATGACCTCAGAATATATAAGCGCAAATCAAAGCCATCACTGCTTTATGCGTCCGTTTTTCCTTAACTAAGGATTTTTAATCAAGTAAAAATTGAGCTTACTGATTCAATTTCACAAACATTAAACATTTTGGAGAAAAAAAGTTACCATTTGTGAGTGCATTTTACCTTAGATGGAGTCGAATCAGTATCAACAGTGGTTAACGGTTTACAAACCCCATAAAGCCATTAAGAAGATACAAATCAAGGTAATAAACAAACATTGAGGTAATCGCAGGGCTATCCTTACCACACTGTCATTACAGAACAGAATGTGGTTTTTGAAAAGAGCTGAGATCTCCACCACTAAACCAAATATTTTATTGTTTGACTTGTCAAAATAAATTGAATGATATATAGGATGAGTTTCAATTAGTCATTATCACCCTGCTATTTGAGAATATTCAAATATCAATAACTTAAATACGTAAATAATATGTTAAGGAAAAATTACCATCTGCAAAGCCATTTTTGCGGATTATTTCCCTTGCACGGTCTATTATGTCTGCGCAGTCGATCTGTAAATATAATTTCTCAGTATAGGTTAAAACAACATTGTATATACCCTCTAAGAGAATTTTGTGTTTATTAGACAAAGAAAAACACTGTTTATACCTACAAATTTTATTATTGAAAAGACTGTAGATGAAAACGTTCCAACAACAACTGATCTGATATCTGCTTCTGAACACTACAGTGTTCCCCTATATATTGGCTACATAAATAACACAAGAAACCTTATAACTTAAGGTTTGTATCTGAATCCAGTAAGTTTTAACTAACTGCACGTCGTGTTTCTGGTTCTTCTGACTTGTTTTTCTCTACTCTCTATACTACCACACAATCTTATAAAATAGAAACACTATATCATTATTAGTAGACAATCCAGATTTTCCATGATTACGTGTTTATTAAAATTATTCATAAAAATCAAAACAATACTAGCGACGACCTATTTAAACCCTTGATATTCGAATTTTTTATGGTAACCTTCATTTCATTTACCTAAATGTATGACAAAATGGACGACGGTTCCTTTCCAATTGTTTATTAAAATTTCCTTGATAGTAGTTTATCGTTGAATCCTCCATATGGAATGTACATTTCTCCGGTGTTCCGATTTCACTTGTTTTCTGTGACGTCTCACATTTACAGAAGAATATAAACATCATCATGATCATACAACACCAACTCACTCACTTAGGATTTGAATCAAAACTGAAATGATTCTTTTGTTTTACTACATTGACAATCTTTAAAGATGTTAACCAAATAGCATAATATAGTGTCTTCGTGTAATGCATGTAGAGGTTATGACGTTGCTGCTTGAAATCTTCTATGAAATGCAGCCACCGATATTAGAGTTTTGGTTGTGATATTTCACATCAGCAACTACTTTAAGTAACTGAGAGTTTTCTTTCATAAGGTATAGTATATTATTGAACTACTGACGTCAAGCAAACCTCATTTACCCTTAAGGCATCAGACATTTTCTATTGACACGTCAACATTTTAAGGGAACCTTTGTGATGTCCAGTAATGGTGGACAAATGAAAATAAGGTGTATTGTTCAAAGTTAGAAATCTTTGTAATTTGATAATGCGTTGTTGACTGTACTTTGATAGTTTCTTATTGAATTGTACACAACGTTTCTTTTTATTTATTTATCGCATTGAAAATTGTATAGACACGTCTATCTTTGAAGGAGATTCTTGACCTTTATGTGATTACATTATTTGCGTCCGACTTTTATCGTAGTTGTACGTGTCTAGTGAGAATTACTAGACACATGTTGAGTCGTTTCTTTTTATATTAGAAAATAACAAGTAATTCTAGTATGAACAAGCATTCTGAGAGTATTGCATGGCAATACATTGTCCCCTACTGGTTGAAAATTTATTGTACTGGAACAGAATGACAAAAAAAGTCCAAGGACCATCACTCTGCAAACAAATCATCTGAACGGAACAAAATTCGAACTTGATCTATATTTTGTCATTATAAAACTATAACTACCAAATATCAAATCAATATCTTGAAGCATAACCAAAAAATGTGTGGAAAACTGATTACTTGTGTGAATTTTCTTAGTCAAAGGACCATAACTCTGCACAAAATCATCAGACCGGAACAAAATGTAAACTTGATCTGCAACTGGTCATGATAAAACTATAAACCAAATATCAAATAATGTATTTTAGTACAAAGAAAAAAGTTTGGAAAATGATTTGCCGGACTGACGACAGATGGACGGACAGGCATAGGGACCTACAGACGTACGGACGGACGGGTTGCACACCTTAAATCCCCTTAGGCTTTGCCGGTAGGGGATTATTTATATCAAAAGCGCTGGTTTTGGTATTGAATGAATTACCAAATGAATGCTTATTTTGTTATGCTTTGTAAATCCTGACGATTACAATGTACTGTTTCTTTGAAACAACAAGTCGTCTTATTTGTGATAATTTTTCATTATGTTAATTTTTTGCAAAAATGACGTCTATCATTATTTGGCATTGAATGTTTTACATAGTTGAATTTGTTTGTTTGACAGGATTTAAAACAGATGAAGATAACTAAGAAAGAACAAAAGTGCTTTCTCTTTATGTGCTTCAATGCTTTTGAACACTATATAATTGATGTATTGGATTTGGGTTTCTGATTGTTTTGTCTCGAGCGCGATTGACGAGTCTTATGTAAACAAAACACGCATCTGTCATACTAAATCATAAACTTGGTAACCTGATGAGTTAGTTAATAAAATAAAAATTTCCCATAATCTATCGATATCAAACGCAAATTATTGTGTTTTGTAAAGATTTACTTACACCAATAACTTTCGATGCTCCCGCCTCAGCAGCAAACATACACAATATACCAGTTCCACATCCCATATCCAATACGATTTTGTTTCGGAATAGATTGGTATTTTGTAAGATGGCATTTCTGTATGTTCCTGTCCTTACTTCATCTCTTAACATTACCTTAAATGTATCAAATCATACATGTTTTCAACGTTTCCTGTAAAAGTAAGATTGACAATGATCGGGTTTTTTTTATATTACAAATCGGTTGTTATTGTACACTTATGTTGACTGATTTGTTCTTGTACTCACATGAATCAGAATTTTCACAAAACCGAACTTTTTATGTAATACCTTCAAAGGACAGATGGAAAAGCTAGCAGATCCTTTACTTTCACTTTCAGAATATTGATGAAGTCATCTTACTCATTTTTTTTTTCCAGTTATCACTTGCACATAATATTTCCCTCTGAACTTGACATTAATGATACTAAAGACAAAAGGTTTATCAGAGCTTTTCTTGAAATTGACGTGATGGACAAGTGAAAAACGATCTATGAAGAGCTCAATGATTTCAGTGTTCCTACTGTCAACTTCCTAATCTTGAATAGTAATAGAAAAGAGAAAGGAGAAAGGCAAAATATACCAAAGGGACGTTCAAACTCATAAGTCGAAAACAAACTAAAAATGACATGGCAAAAAACGAAAAAGACAAACAACATTATATAAAACAGAACAATCATAGAAAACTAAAAGACTGAGGAACACGAACCGCGCCAAAAAACTGGGGGTGATCGCAAGTCTCCGGAAGGTTGTTAACATGGTTGTTAACCTGTTGTTAAGCCTATGCCAAAACTAATGAAATGATATGTAAGACTACATTATGATTTTGGCGATTTCACTAACAAAGGTTAACTTTAACTTAAACACTACATGACCATGACAAAGACCAAAATCAATTAAGTAGTTCAACGCTTTACAATTTGTCAATTTTTTTTACCAACGTGCGATATTTACATTATGGCGTAGATCAAACGTGTGTTCCGTAGTCCATCTGACATGGTCTGACATATATGGATTCGGAATCGTACGATATGTGATGCATTAAAAGCAGGGAAAGCTTACCCTGTCATGCACCTGGTCTCGCTGTTTTTGGTGTTCATGCAATTCCGATGACATATACCTAGTTTTTTTTCAATTGTTCAACATTTGTCATATGTTAAAATAGAAATCATTCCTGTCCTCTAACCAACAAAGATATTTTACTGCTTAGATGTGACAATGAATGCATGCACATACGATCTACAAAATTAAACTGTGATTTACATATGTAGGATTTTATTCGAAACACATCTTGTACTGTTAAACAATTAAACAATAGTACTTGGAAAATGAAATACTAAGTATCTTCATTGAGTAAAAAGCAGCACTCAAGAAAACCAACAATTTGTAAACGTTAACCAGAGGTTTGTAAGGTTTACCAAAGCGTTTGACCTTGACCTTTAAGTCATATATCTAAACATTATTCGTGACAGATTTTAATTGGCGCATTAAAAAAAAAGAAATATAACCATTAAAGTTTAACACCACACCACTCAAGATAAAGAACTAACAAGATTGGTAAACCTGAAGCTAGGGTATACTACGATCTTGACATTCAAACTACAGATTGTGATTAATTTTATAAACCAAATAGTGGGAAAATCAATAAAGTACATGTAAGTTTAGACTGTACCCAAAATAGTTGAGAGGAACTAATGGTCAGATAATCTATTTAAAAGTTCTCGTGTCTAATAAAAACGAGGACTGATGATGACAATGGAAACGAAAGGCGATCAACACTCAGATGCAGATCTAGAACTTTAAAGGGAGCAAAGTAGGCAACGTTTGGAGTGGGACAAGTCTATGCATTAACCATATATATAACTCGATAAGAGATACCAAGGCCGTCTCCCCCTAAATACGCCTCCGAGTCGCTGTATTCATGCTGTTGTTTGTTTACGTTATTCATTATTTCTTACCTCGTGTATGTTCAATTTGGAGTAAGAACCAAAATATTTTATATCGCATTCATCCATTTCAAATCTCTAAAAAAAAGCACAGATTTTGCATATTCAATTGGAAATTATCATATTTGTTGAAAGTAGATGCGGTGTATGATATTTACAAAGCCATATGCCATATACATATTATCTTATACCTAGAATATATGTTTTTCTGTTGGGTTTTAATAAAACCTGCACAACCGTGATTTAAATCGTTATCATCTCGTATTACTTACACAGAAGGATTGCCGTTGCTTGCATCACACATACAATTTACTGGCAGCAGTCCTATAGCGCCAATTGCTATTCATAAGATGTATCATTTGCGCCAAATATTATTTTTCAAAGCTATAATTTGTGCTAATTTCAGGAATTCAGTTGTGCCAATATACCTGTATATATATTGATATATTCAGCGTACATAATAATCTTAAATAAATTGTGTTAAATGAATAAATGAAAAAAAATTGTTTAATGGGACCTAAACACGTTAAGAGCTATATCGCCAAAAGGGATCAAAGAATAGCAAAATTCTTATGAGGTCAACTTTGATGAGGTAATTGAAATCTTAGTCTCTTAGTTATATCTTAAAGGAATGATACCCTCAGGGACTTACAGACCACCAATAAAAATAGCCAAATTCATTAAAGGTCTTTGCCTAATGGAGTTGGAACCTTAGCTTTCTAATAATTTCTTTATCTATCATCGAAATTTTTTTTTTTAATTTGTAATTGATCATGTATCAGTGCATATAGTACTGAAGCAATAACCTTAACTTCGCCAAAGTAAACTGTTGGCCCCATCCCCGGTAAAAGGTGAAATGAAGTCATTAATTTTTTTTTTTTTTATTATTAAAATAAATTGGCGCAAACGTATGCTTTATATTTGCCGCAAATGATACTACGCATTTTCAAAATTAGCGGTGCAAACGTAGCTATGGCACAAATGAGTTGTGGCATAAAGGAACGCATTTTTGTCGCAAACAGATTTTCTCCCAATTTACTTGTAATTTCCACTAAATATTTATTAAACTTTTTAACACTACAAAGTTTTAATTTATACAAGTGAAGAATATAAAGTTATTAAATGTCTGTCAGAATTCTAAGACAAAGTGACACATTCATTTGTTCAAGTAGATTAAAGCTGTTTGATGAGCATCAGATTGAACCTCTATATGGCTAAAAATCAGCAATTAGCAAAATCTAAGTTAAAATTATTCTTATTTGTAGTTTAGTTTGAAATAACTTATAAATTCATTCACTTCTTCTTTTAATTGTTTGAAAAATTCATCTATCATAAAATAAGTCAAATAAGACATCAAAATAAGGCTTTGTAAGAATTTGCACAACAGTCTAATATTGGTCGGACTGATATGGGGTTATCAGCCTGGATGAGTTCTTTCATCGGTAGTATATGTTAAAAGATTAATACAGTTCCTTTTCCATATTGGTCCGGGTATCATCGACCAATATGTAATACACACATGCGTCGATACGTATACATGATTTTAAGTTGATCAGCCTTTTCAAAGGTTATTTTTGATGAGTTTATTGATGTATACTCGGCCTTACACTCACAAACTGAACGGACTTTAAGATTGTGAGTGAGTCGACCGAGTTTACACATCAATAAAATCATCTAAAATAACCTTTATTACATATCATAAAACAAACTGCTTTTCAAAATTATAGAAATAACCCAATATAAAACTACACTACTGACCCGAGAATTTTAAGTTTACTTGAATGAAATAATGATCTTTGTTCATGTTAAATTTTTTGTCTCCATTTATCTTCACATTTTAAATAAAAAAGATCCATTTTACATGAATAGACGACTATAATTCTTATCAATTCAAAGTATACAATACATACCAATTTAACTTCAGAGCATCTATGAACATTCGTACGGTATCACTGGTTTTATGTCATGTAAATGCCTTGGGTGTAATACTTTTTGAAAAGGCTGATGAACTTAAAATCATGTACCGATACTATTAACCTGCGTTGGGAAATATATATTTTAATGTCAAATACATTATTGGAATTCATTATTTTAGAATGAGCATGACATCCACATTTTTGAAGAAGGCATCACATTTTGTTGATTATAGCTGTTACATTAAACTACAAAGATCCGTCAATTTATTAAACGTCAGTAATTTTTAATTCATACAGTTGACTGATCAGAAATGTGGATATAATGTTTATTACATCAAACAAATCGAATTCTGAAAGTAAAAAAAGGTAATAGACAGTAAAATGCGAAACACAAACAGAATATCTTATTTTTCCAGACATTTAATGAAACTTAACGATTAAGCGGAGAATTTCTTTACATTTTTGGGAAACTCAATTTAAAAACACATTTTGAATAAATACAATTCCATAGTATCTACCGTCTGTTCTTTCGTAAAAAATAACATGCATTACCATATAAAGAGACATGAGAACCTTCCATTATTAATGGTTTATACATATAATTATGGCACGCCTGAACCACTTTTATTAATTAATCTTAGATTATCTCAGATAAACTAGGATTATATCAGATAATCCCGGTTTATCTCAGATAAATTAAGATTATCTCAGCTTAATACAAATTCGAGAAAATCCTAGTTTATATCAGAAAAATACAGAAAATTCATTATCTGGAGAAAATCCCGGTTTATCTCAAAATATTAAGAAAATCTAGGTTTTTCTGATCGATTTTCAGATAATCCTAATTTATCTCCAGATAATTAATTTTCTCAATTTCAGATAATGAATTATCTCATTTCTCGAGAAAATCTAGGTTTATCTCGGATTCTAAATATACAAAAGAACAATGTAACGAGTGTTTAAATTGGACGACAATCCGGCGTTTAACGTTTTACTTTCTCTTTGAAACCATGATGGTGACGAATTCACTTCCTATTATTGGGTGAACGGGGATGTGCCAAAATATGGGTCATAATTTTGCGAGATTTTGTATAAAAATTAGCGTCCTTTTTCAGAGGAGAGGCGACATTCAGCATACGGCACGCAATTTTTACTTATATTATTGATCGATCGCTGTGTTATTGTGTCATTTATCACTACTCGTGGTGTGAACATCACCGTTATTGACACCTGGACAAGCGAAATTTGTTGAATCAATTATAAAAACAAGTAATATACAAAAGGGCTGATTATATACAATATACATATACTTTGTACATACATAATAAACAAATTTGGTAGCTATTTCTTTTACACAAACTGACTGTTTATTACCGACGGCTAATTTCGACATCGATAATCATTGAATTCTCATATTTTAATTCATTCAGTCGGTTTTAATTTTTTAATCGTGACAAAGTTTTGTAAAATATTTAATTTTAACTATTGCATTATTTCGGCATTTGTCATTAAACAAAAAAGATAGCACTAGAAAGAAGGCAACTAAGTAATCCAATACACATAATGCACGATTCAATTATGGAAAAAACAATTATTTCATCATGGTTATTCATTAGACATAATTTTCATTTTGTTTTCAAATAATTAAATACATAAGAGTTTATATGCCACGAACCTTAAAGCGCCAATTATTAATTGTAGGATATAAACAATAAATGTACATTGTCTGAATACAAAATGTGTGTTAAACTCGCTAACACGGTTGTCATTTGGTTTATCGAGAGAAATGATCGTGAAAGAATATCTAACGGAGGTCAAGTATTGCGAGACGATCGTGAAAGCTCTGGTACATGTACCGGATCGTGAAAGAAATTTAATCGAGAAGACATATGAAAAGTCATTAAATAATCTAATTTAATTAATTACACGGACAAATTTACAACAAAATAAAACTGTCTGTCAAAATGGTTGAACATTATGATCAGTATGTGAGAAAATCCAGTTCTAAAATTACATAGTTTTTACAAAACAACAAAAGGCATATTGCTCCTCGACATTTCAGTGACATCAAAAATGTAAACAAACATGATTTTTTTCACAAATTCCAATAAAATAAACTATTTTATATTTCGGATCGTGAAAGATCACGTACAGGTTTTTGAAGATCGTGAAAAGGATCGTGAAAGATCTAATGCTACGAAGACATTCATATTATTCTTCAATTATATGATAATTAATATTTGTTATTGGTATTAAAAAAAATAGATTGGCATGATCTAATATCTTATAATCCCACACAGACTTGGTAAATTGTATCAATACCAGTCCATTTGTCCGTCCTTCATAAGTATTGTTACTTTATACATTAAGATGTTTTATTTTGTATTTATAACTTTGAATTCTCATTTTTATGCCCATTATATTTATAAAGCTTACATACCTGTATGCTATAGGGCCACGATATTTGGTGTATGGTGTACATGTCTGTCTGCATGTTTCATATATGACGTCAATTGTATTTGATATATTGAATGATAGTAAGATGTCTGTGTCTGACTGTCGGTCAGGGTTCATATACTTTCGACCTCATGTTCCGAATTAATTGGCCAAACATAACTTTTACATTTGTCAGTTTCTAAGGTACTGTAAGCATCGGAACACCTATATTTGGTGTACGGGGTTTTAGTAGAGATCTGTGTCATGGTTCATCTGACCTTGACCTCTTTTTATGAATCATTGACAATTTTAAGAGTATGTGACACTTCTAGTTAAACCCTTAATATTACAGAAGTTCAACAAAGATACTATCATAAGTAAAGCAGACGAGACATTTCAGCATTTGCGCTCTCGTATTCTTTATTCTGTAATATATAGTTATCTCATTGGAAATCAATCCACATCTGCTACGTTGTATACAAAGATACATATAACAAAATGTTGGTTATCGTTCAGTCTCAAATTTTTCATGAAAGATGCTGTTTTTGCTATAAGTTTTTGGTTGATGGTTAACTTTTTGGTTTAAACGTTGCATACCCATATTATTGGCTAAATAATGGCGGTCTGCCTGATTTGTACTAGTCCGATTCTCAGAGCTGAATTTTTCACACTGATTTAGACACGTTTTAAGTTAAACTTTTTTAACTTTAGAGATAAAGTGTTGAATTTAAAAA